TACTATGAGCTGAATAAAGGTTACTGCTTTGCTACACCTCTTGTCGCGTCCTCTCCCTTCGCTCCAAGATGCAAAACCGCCCTCTGTTAACTTTGTTCTCTCCCTGCAGTCTGGGGGACTCCAAATTTTGAAGTTGGAAGAGAAAGTTAGTGCAGTGGCCGCTCAGAAGCTTGTTCTGGATTCAGATGCAGGTATGTGATGCTCAAAGGGATATAGTCATCTATGCACGATTGTAACCCCTAAGCCTGATTAATTCTACTGCAGACAGAACTCTTTTCCCCTAGGGAGAATTATTTGAAGAGGGTCCCCAAGAAGAGATGACTACATATTCTCTGTACCTTTTTCTTTCCCATCAGTGCTAGTGAATCGATGCTCTTATTTATTCACCATACGCAATGGTTGCAATTTAATTCATTAATTAATTTATTGAATTTATTTGCTGCCCATTTCACCCTGAAAAAGTGACTCAGGGTGTTGGTTGTGATGCAAATATTGTGCATTTTACCCTATTAACCTGCTCAGTGTTGGATGCAGTGTACCTCTGGAGAAGAGTAGGTATAGACCGCTTAACATAAGTAGGTCAGCTGCTTTAAGCACATAAAGCATCTTTCCCATGTGTGGCATACATCTGCTGGGATGTTTGCCATAAAGAATGTGGAAAGAAAAAAATCTTATCATTTGTTTATTTAAGAAAATTTATATGGCTGCCCAATTCACTCTCAGTGATTCCAGTCAGCAGCATGCAAGCATACTGTAAATCCCATTACAAAAACAATACAAGAAGCAATAACCCCACCCCCCCAGCCTATTGGTCACAACAATCAAACCACTTGATGGTCTCCATATTGGGTCCCCAGGCTCATGGGCAGAACCATGTCTTCAGGACCTTGTGAAAGAATGTCAAAATCGGGGCCAGCCTTACTTTTGCAGGGATAATGTTCCACAGGGAAGGAACCACCATGGAGAAGGCCCTTCTTTTTGGTCCTGCCAGATGGACATCCTTAGGAGAGAGGGCCTGTAGTATTCCGTGACTCCCTGCTCTGTTGGGTCGGGTTTTCCTCCTCCTCCATTCTCTTCCCTCTTCCACGTTCACTTCAATTAATAACCCCCAGTCACACATGGTGGATCACAGAAGATGTCATCTGCTTACCTAATAGAAAACAAGATAGTTTATAAAATGTGTGTTTATCAAAGCTGAACGGAAGGAAGACAAAATGTGATGGAATATGGTAGACCTGCTGAATGGGTTCTTACAAGGGGGCCTTGGAGGAATAAAAACGGTAACTCCACTTTTATTTCCTGCCCCCTACCTAGTACTCACAATTTTCCTAGACTTGGTTATGTATTTCACAGTATTTCCTTCTGCTGACTGGTGCTGTCCTTTAAGGCATAGTTCAGCATCTCTCATGCAGCCACATAAAACAGCTAGCTTTCCACCAGAAATTCTAACATCCATCTCTTTTATTGCAGAAGTGAAACCTGTCATGGTAGCAGATGCTACTTCCGAGCAGTTTGAGGTGAGCAATGATCATGAAAGCATTAACACACCTTATAGAGTTGCTTCATGCTTCAAGAGGAATCTTGATTCTTCCATAACTTTTAAAATGCATCACTGCATACAACACTTTTTTTATTCCGTCTCTAGCATTCTTCCTGATAGTGATAATGATGAATGTGCAGATAATTGTTTTATTTTATTTTTTTCTCATAGTGTGGGTGCCATACATTTATTGTGAATGGTCACAGGCTAGGAATGATGTTACTATTCCCTTTGTGATATGCTATGCCTAGGTTATAGTTGTCACCTATGTAGAAATGGATCATTTTCTGAGGCTGACTTTTTCCCACTGTGGTTCTAGGATGAAAGTACTCTGGAGACCCAGTCTGAAAATGATCCATTCTCAGCAATGTCCTGTCCTTTTAACAAAGCCATCAAGGGTAACCAGAACCGCCACACATATGATATGGAAGGTAAATCATCTCTGTCTCTGCTTGCAACCTAATAAAATTAAGGAGGTCAAGGGGATGCTGCTTATAAATTAAGGTGTGTGTGTGTGTGTGTGTGTGTGTGTGTGTGTGTGTGTGTGTGTGTGTGCATATCTTTTGAATCAGTGTTAACTCCTGGGCCTGGGCCTGGCCTGGCCTCAGCAATATTCTTGT